CCCTCTCTCTCTCCCTCTGTCCCTCTCTCCTTCTCTCTCCCTCCTTCCCTCTCTCCCTCCCTCTCCCCCCTCTCTCTCCCTCCCTCTGTCTCTCTCTCCCCCTCTCCCACTCTCTCTCTCCCTCCCTCTCTCTCCCCCCTCTCTCCCTCCCTCCCTCTCTCCCTCCCTCCCTCTCTCCCTCTCCCTCCTTCTCTCTCTTTCTCTCCCTCCCAGCCCCTCCTTTTCCTCCCCCTGCCACCCTCAGATAATTTGGGGAAGCTCTTTCAAGACCACTGGATCCTCACTCGTGTCTCTGCTTCAGTCTGGCGATCTGTGGTGCTTCGAGTGAAGGAGGAGAAAGCGTAGCTTACAGGTGTTTGAAAGAGGATCCTTTGGGGCCTTCTAGAGGGCTCTGGTGTCATTTGGATACCACGTGAAAATGCAGCCAGGGCTTTTCAGAGGCTGCTGGCAGCGTGGTGTTCGTGGCGTCCGTGGCGTCCGCTGCTGCACGGCGCCCCGTCTGCCTCACAAGCAGCTGCTCTGGTCGTTTGCTGAATCACATGGCTCTTCCCGGTGCTGGTGTGCGGGTGGCTGCACTGTATAAAATAACACTTGTTAGTGTCGCCGCGAGTCCCACAGAAAGTGCCTGGTGTCAGGAAGCACGCAAATGTTTCACACTGTGATTTTTTTTTTTTTTTTTTTTTTTTTTGACAGGCAGAGTGGGCAGTGAGAGAGAGAGAAAGGTCTTCCTTTGCCGTTGGTTCACCCTCCAATGGCTGCTGCGGGTGGCGCACTGCGGCCGGCGCACCGCGCTGATCCGATGGCAGGAGCCAGGTGCTTCTCCTGGTCTCCCATGGGGTGCAGGGCCCAAGCACTTGGGCCATCCTCCACTGCACTCCCAGGCCACAGCAGAGAGCTGGCCTGGAAGAGGGGCAACCGGGACAGAATCCGGCACCCCGACCGGGACTAGAACCCGGTGTGCCGGCGCCACAAGGCGGAGGATCAGCCTAGTGAGCCGCGGCGCCGGTCACACTGTGATTTCTACTTGAAGTCTCAGTTTATCGATGCAACAAGTGCTGTTCCCATGGAGTGAGAACTTCAGAACCTGGAGAGGGAAAACGCAGGGACGAGGGCCAGCTAATGCTTCACAAAAGACGTCAGAGGAAAAGCCAGCCAAGAGTTCGTGAATCCAGGAGGCTGATTCCGTGTGTTCATGGTGTTTGCTATATAGTTAAAATATTTGTGATAAACATTTACAAGCTTGGAAAACAATGAATGGCTCTGGGGAACAGCTGGAGTGTGCATCACAAGCACAGCTTCGGGAGCACAGTGCCCCGCCGTGGGAGGCTCGAGGACACGGCAGTGGCGGTGCCAGCGTCAGCAACACCGGCGAGGCCGGCAGTTCGGCTCCAGGGGGCCCCCAGGGCGCTGCCCAGTGCTTCCAGGGGTCGGGAGCTGGGCATCGAGCGTGCAGCTTTGCTTGCAGAAGGCAGCAGGCCTCGGAGACTGGAAGCAGGGAGGGAGGGAGTGCAGCCAGGGTCCCGGTCGGACGGCAGGTGCTCCTGGAAGATTTTGTGAGCGCTGAGTTTTGGGAAGATTGTCCTGGCAACGTGAAAAGGGAGCCAAAGTGAGAGTCAGACTCAGTGCCACCCTGGCTCCTTCGCCTGCTTGGCGCCATGCCCAGGTGTGGACAGACAGGCGCACTGAGGGCACACGCCCTCCACAGTCACAGTCCCTGCCATGGGAGGCAGAAGGCAGAGCCACAGGGGAGCGGCCCCTGCACGTGGAAGCGCCCGGTTTCCCCACCATGATTCATCTGACACCGCAGAGGGTTATTCTCAGTAACATTATTTTTAGAGCTGTACCCGTGGGCGCTTTGGCTGAGGCTCTGCCTGCAGCCCAGGGTCAGAGCAGCCGTAGGCTGTGTGGAAGGAAGGGACAAAGGGAAAGGAGAAGGCCGGGGAGCAGAGGGGGCAGAGATGCCGGAGAAACCGTGAGTGGGACTCTCTTCTTGAAATTCAAATAAATACAACGAATTCTAATTTTTGTCTCGGAAGACGACAACCCCGTGACATTTCTGTTTCTGCTGATTGTACTGTGTCAGCGCCACTGCACATCACAAGACACCTGGAATACAGCAGGTTCAGAGCTAACGGGTCCAGGATGACGGCCGGCCCTGAGACTGGTGCAGAGCCCCCCACAGACAGCGCAGCCTTGGGTTGCGTTCTGTCGCCTTCTTGCTGACCATGCTTTAGCACAGCTGTCCACCCGCCCTCTCTAGAGACTCGCCCTGAGGTAGGGTTGCCCTGGCAACTGACCAGCTAAGGAGAGAAAAAGGGGACTTGCCAGGTGCCTGGAATGCACACGCTGCACAACCAGCCCTGCCTCACGGGGAGCGGCCCCCGGGCCCTGAGCAGTTGGCGCCCACCCTGCCTGTGTGGCTGACTGCAAGCCCAGCATGGCTCAGGCAAAGCACCCGAGAGATCAACCGAGTGGCTCTGCCTTCGAGGAGCAGCGGTTTCTGAGGACTGTGGCGGCCGGGGGCTGGCTGCCTGCTCCCCAGCCACTATGCTTGCCGGCCAACTCCCAGTGCCCCTCGGGCAGCGGCACGGTGGGAGCCACTGCCGGAGCCCGCAGGTGTGCAGAAGGGAACGGGGGCTGAGTGGCTGTGGCTTTGCGATTCCGCCGCAGTGTGAGGTGTCTTCTCTAAAAGGAAAGCAGCCCGTGGCCGGGCAAGCCCCCTGCTGCCCCTCCCTCGCACGGCTGGCACAGCGTCAGGAGACTGTGCTGCCCCGGAGGGAATATTGCTCAGCTCTGGTAACCCTCTGCACCAGTCAGTTGGAAACGGAGACTGTATTTTTAAAACCCAGACCTCACTAAATGTGGTGTCATCACCACTTTGTGTGTCTGGCGGGAGCTTGCAGGCCTGTGCTGGGGGTCAGAACCTTTCTTGGTGACTGAGTCCTTGCTGGAGGCGCTGGGCTGGTCACTGCACGGCCAGTTGTCACAATGCAAGCCCACCCCCGCGCCCCTCCTGCCCTGCTTGCCCTCCCAGCCCTGCCAGGAATTGGGCCACACACCCGCCTTGGACTTCAGCCTGCAGAGCTAAATGACCCCTTCCTCTAAGTTAGCCAGCCTCGGTGTTCTGTGACAGCCACAGAGACGCTCAGGCCCTGAGCCCTGCTCCTGTGTGTGCCTGCCCCCGGGGACATGACCACAGGCAGGCCTGGTCTCCCAGCCCCTCTGCCAGCCAGCTGCACTCAGCCCTGACACCTGTCCTGCTCGCCCCCACTACCTTGTGGAAATTTAAATACGTGAAGACCTCATCCTGCCCAGTGCGCAGGTGGATGCACAGAAGTGGCCTGGATGGAGTCACACGGAGCCCCAGGAGGATCCCAGGGCTGACCCTGAATTTGGTCTCAGTCATGACCTTGAGTTTCAGCCAATTCCATTTGCCCACAGAGCCAAGCCCTGGAGATAACCCTGTGCCTGCGCCCAGAACTACACCAAGACCTGCCCTGTCCACAGTGTGTGCGTGAGCAGGGTGGTAGCTGTCGCTCAGCCAGGGTCTAGGCCAGGGAGGAGCTGTGTCAAAGGCAGTCCAGGGCTGTGTGGGAGTGCAGGAGGCAGGACAGGATGTGTGGATGGAGCTGCCGTCTTCCACAACACCCTCTGGGCCCTCATAGGACCACAGAGCTGGACCTGTGTCCAGGGAGCTCACCCTGCAGCATGTCCAGTGATGTGCTATGGATGGATCCAGGCCTGAACCTCTTCTGCATCGCTGGGCACATCCCAGGGCCCACAGGCAAACTGAGAGGAAGAGGAGGTGGAAGGGGTGGCTGTGTGTTGTCCAGCACCTGCTGTACGTGGGACTTGCCCCACAGGGACAGGAGACAGCTGCTGCCCCCAGATTCCACCAGCCCAGGGACAGCGCATGGAGGGCTGTGTGTGGCCTTAGGGTGGTGTGCCTGCATGATTTATGAGCAGTCACCTGGAATCAGGAGGTCACAGTTGTTAAGAAGCACAAAGAAAACACATGTTGCTGCTTTAGCAAAATAAAGGCTCACTGTTATATTTGATACTTCGTATGTGAGTCATGTTCAAGGGCAATACATACAGAAAAAGTTTCACTGTTTTGGAAGGCAGAGAGACAGAGACAGAGCACTTCCATCCACTGGTTCACTCCCCGAATGCCTGGAACAGGCAAGGCTGTCCAAGAGAAATCCTGCGGGTAGCAGGGACCCAAGTGCTGGAGCCATCCCAGGGGTGCATGAGCAAGAAACCAGGACTGGAAGCAGAAGCGAGCCTACACCAGTCAGCCTGAGCAGCATCTGAGGCTCTGTGCCCCAGGCCTGCCCCTCATTGACGTTTTCTGAGCATCAGCTATCTGCTAGAGCCTTACTCCCACCACATTTAAATCTGTAGGGCTTTTTACTTTGTTCGTATTGAAAACACCAAAGTCCAAAAGAAGACGTGTGCTGAGCCTGAGCAGCAAAGATGCTTCAGGCCTGGTGTTGAGAGCGTCCACGGAAGACTTGGCATCGCCAAAGCGGATCTCCACCAAGACAGGTGCCTCAGAGCCCCCAGACCCACCACAGCCCCCTGGCCCCTCTGCAGCATCAGGTCCAGGAGTGGGGCTTGCTGTCTGTCTACAGCATCGTCCAGCTTTCCAGAGTTAGGAATGGCCCCACAGGCCATGAGCCCAGGCCTGTGTCCTGCTTCTTCCCAGGGCTTCCTGATGGTGGGGCAGCTCTGCTGGGATGGGGCCTGGCCACACTCCCTGATGCTGATGACCGTCCTCAGCTTGGGAGGGGTCATCTGCACCCCCCTCACTCAGCAAACAAAGTAGCAAAGGCTGTAGCCCGAGAGAAAGAGGAGACCCTGAATCATCAGCTCCTCCTGGAAACCTAGGCACCTCCCAGATGACGCCACATTAACCCTTTGGGTCTGACCGTCCAGTGCCAGTGGCTGTCTCACCAACAGCCAGGGAGAGGCTGCCCCGTCCCACAACACTGAGTCCATGGTGGAGGAGGGGCCCTCGACCGAGAGGGACAGGGCAGCACCCACTCCTGGCTGCTGCAGGCAGCCCTCCTGGCCGCAGCCACCCCTTGCAAACTGCAGGGTAAGGAGCCTTCCCAGGCCCAGAGAGCACTGAAGGTCCCCAACAGGTGTCACCCCTGGAGGCTCCAGCTACAGGAGAGGCCTGGGAGACAAGGCACCGACTCCCACTTGCTGCCCACAGCCCACCCCAGCATCTCTCAGCCGCCGTCATGTTCTGCCTGCCAGTCACATGGGTGCTGCTGCCGTACAGCCTGGCGCAGGACGGCTCTGCCCCAGGAGCCCTGCACAGGGCATGCTGCGCCCCAGTCCCTGCGCTGTATGAGAAGCATCTGGGTAATACAGGTGGGCCCTGTGTGAATCACAGGCTGGGAGGGACCTGGCCACAAGCCCAGGAATGTTCAGGCTGGGTGAGCTGTAGGACTCAGGGATGCCCCACCCGACCCCGGGGGTCTCCAGAAGGAGTGGCCCCTCCATGCCTGATTTAAACCCTGACACCAGGACTGTGGGGATCACTGTGGTTTTCAGCCACTACCTCTGCAGTAATTCCCACACAGCCGCCACACACTGGGTCCAGTCTCTGGAGCAGGGACACGGAGCTTGGTCCCTGTGCAGGTGGGCGCCTCTCATGTCTTAGCTCTGGCTCCAGATCCTGCCAGGACTGCCTTGGCTCACGGAGGGCCTGGATTACCACAGGCTGCAGTCAAGGATGGCAGGGCAGGGAGGCCCGCAGCGGGGGCCTTGCCACCCTTGCCCGCCTGCCCCCGTGCCCCAGCCCAGCAGCTGCTGCTCAGAGTTGCTGTGACTCCGGGCCACACATTTGTAAGCATTTCCTTGGGATTCAGGATTGCAAGGAGCTGAGTCGGCATTCCCACCTGGTGGCCTAATCAGGTTCCAGAAACTTCTGGAAGCCCAGGCTGAACTTCGAGGCAGGCAGCTGAGCTTAAGGGGGAGGCTGGGAGGCAGCCTCAGGCAGTGCTGTGGGGGGACGGGTTGAGTGGCTCCCACGGTCACATGCACAACACCTTGGGGCTGACGTAGCAGGGCTGCCGGCTGCCGGCTGCCAGTCTCACAAGTCAATCCTGCTCCCCGCGCCGCCACCGCCAGAGCGAGATGGTTTGGGAGTGCAACCTCAGAGGGCTGGAGCTACCACTTGGCCACAGTGCAGAATGCAAAAATGCCAAGCCGACCCAGCGAGGCCCAGACTCCCCAATAAAAGGAGGCCAGCAGAGCCAGGGCACCAGAGCCCTGCGTACCACAGACGTCAGCAGACACAGCAGAGCTCTGTCCATCACACCAGCAGAGCCTGGCTCTCTCCTAGGGACCCTGCACCCCCGCAAAGCACTCAGCCACTGGGGAGGTGACCTGGGAATGCCCGGCTCCTCTGCCCCCTGACTGCCCTGTCTGGGGGCCTGTGAGAGGCAGTCCCTGGGAACCTAGAAGCCCCTGCAGGATACGCCACCCGCATCCACCCTCATCACTATGGTGTCTTCCCTGTGGAGACTGCGGTGTGCTCCAGATGATGTCCCTGTGCCCGCTCAGCTGGGTGAAGGCAGCTCATGCCTGGGGAGAAGCAGAGAGGGTGTCTGACCTCTGCTGTCACTCCCAGCACAGAGCAGGCAGGGTGGGGAGGTGGGGGAAAACCTGCCTCTGGGGCGCCCCCAAAGCGAGCCAGGGCACTTGTTTCTGTCCAAGCTGAATTTAGCCCCGGATCACTCTAGCTGGGGAGAGGTGCGGAGCCTGCAGCTGGCTTCCACCACATGACACCCAGGGGCTCGCTGGCAGGGACTGCTTGGCCCTGGAATGCATCCAGCCAAGTAGAAATCTCTGTGGTCAGTTCTGCAGTGAGACAAGAGCCACATGAGGACTGTCCGGGTCTATGCTGGGGTTGAGGCCCCAAGAGGCCCAGTGCAGCAGGCAGAACCTGGGAGAGGCTATGGACTGAGCTGAACTGGAGAGCAGGGACGCAGCAGGGGCCCAGACGCACGGCCCAGCAACCATGGGGAGCTGCGCCCACAGGGAACGCGTGCAGCTTCTCCCCGGCACAGCTTCGCCCCCTTCAGGCTCCCTCCTCCGCAGCCCAGTCTGATCAGGCCAGCCCTTCCTCTGCCCAGTGACCACAGGCTGTGTCCAGGGTCCAGGCTGGGCGAATGCCCCGTGAAAGGCGATCTCCAAAATCCTTTCTCTCAGGCATTGGTGGACAGCCAGAGAAAATCCAAGGCCTGCCGAGGTGAAGCCCCTGGGCTGCGTTGGCTGGTGGACTTGAGCGCTCGCCCACACCCACGGGAGCCGCCTGCCCACCTCCACCCTGAGGTGTTTGCTTGGGATGCTCAGCCCCCGCTCGGGATCTCCTGTAAAAGCCAGAAACAGCAGCCGGGTCCAGCCACCAGGGGCGAGGGCGAGGGCCGGCGAGGAGGGCTTCTGGCCGCTGTTTGCCTCTGACTGCTGCTCACCAGGCTCTGGGTAAGCGGGGCTCCAGGCTGCACTGAAGTGTGAGTAATCGGCGCCATTCAGCGCCCGCTAATCTCTGCTCGCGACAATGCAGCACCCAACGGGAAGGGGAGACAAGGAAATGTCAGGTTATGTCCCGAGCCACCATCTGCGCCGGTGTCGGGCTTTCGGGAACATATGCTGCCTGTTGCCCACTGGCCATCTGTTCACAGAGCTGATGGAGTGTCCCCGTTGCCATGGAGACGCAGCCGGGCTTGGCTGCGGCACCACAAACACTGGCTGCTCACGTTTCACTTTTATCTGTGCTCTGGAATGGGCAGGGAGGGGCGGTCTGGGGGAGGGGCCGCCTCAGTCCCCTCAGCACCCCCATTCCTGGCCTGCTACCCTCCCCCCAACTGGAAGCAGGTAGGTTGGGCCATGGCTGACCATGCTGAGAGGGGCCTGGCTCCTGTCTGAAGCAGTGCAGGCTGCTTTCCTAGGACTGAGAATTTGGTCCTGGGCAGTGGGACCCCTGGCCACCTCCAGCTGTTTGGAGCAGGGTTTTTATGGGGGGTGGGGGTGAGAGGGGTCTACAGCCACCATCCTGAGAGATGATCTGCTCAGGGTTCCAGAAGCTTCCTCTGCATGGTCACAGTGTTGGTGGGGTGAGCCCTGCTGCCAGCCTCTGAGCTGCGCCAGGCCAGGGTCAAACAAACCCTTGCTCTTTTCTTTCCCAGACCTGGGAGCTGCCTGTTGGGTGCCAGGTGCCAGGTCTCTGCCATTTCCCATCTGGTGGTGAACGTGCAGGCAGCGGGGCTGGGTCTGCCCCCTCAGGGCCCCACGGGAGCCACACGCCAGGCCCCAGGGGCCAAGCGAGCTGCCCCCAAAGGGGCCATTTAAGTGTGGCACCCAAGGCCTCACCCAGGAAAAGAGGTGCCGTCTGCCCTGCTGGGTCTGGCGTGGCCGAGACTAGCAGCAGGGAGTGACACAGCCCCTCTGTTCCCACACTCGCTGGGAAGCTGGTGTCCCTGGATGCCCTCCCGTGGGACAGGAGAACCCAGCTCTTGCAGTGAGGTCAGCGCAGTCCAGCCCAAACCTCTGGCCCTGCCTGAAGCCCTGCCAGGGGCGCAGCGGCTCTGATGCCCAGGGTTTTTTGAGCCCTGCTTAACAGTTCTCTCTGAGGCATCAGAAAGCGGCCCCTCGTGGTGGCCTGGGTCTCAACGGCTACCCCAGCAGCGTGGCCATCTCCAGCTCATGGCCCCTCCTGACCCTAAGACCACCCCTCAGAATGCCAGGCCCCTGGCCTCTCCACCTGCACCACCCTTGTTTGTAGCCGCTGAGCTCCTTACAAACAGACTGTGTCGTTTATTGAGTTATATTTTCCCGTGCCGTTCATCACCACAGCCCCTGAGCATAAACAGTGTTATTCAAATACGATTAAACTCCGGCCTTCAAACAGCTTCCAAATTAGCCAGCGAGCATGTGCCGGGCACCAAATGGATTTAAGGGCAAGGCAAACATGGACTTTTGCCAAACTCCTACCATTACACTCTATTATCTCCACTGGAAATTGAGATTTCCTCATCATATCTCATTTGAACTTCCAACAAATGTGCAGGAAGACCAAGCCCAGGCCCCTGGAGGAGGGGCAGGACACGCTGGCTTCCAGCTGCACTGCCTCTGGTCTGCTCCAGCCCGAGGACAGGGAGAGCCTGGCGCTCAAACAGCTGCACAGCAGCCCCGCAGTCACCACCGTGACGGAGCCCCGGGGAGTGGAGGCGGCCAGCGCCGGACGCACTGACACACACCCCACGTACACGGTCACCTCGACACCGTCTGCTGTGGACCGACTGATGAAATGGAGAGGAAGGAGCAGACGCTCTCGCTCACCGGGGGGAAGGCAGAGTGTCAGTGTCCAGGATGTTTGTTCGCACCACTTGGAGGCAAAGTGCAAGCTTAAAATGAAGGTCAGCAGCCTCCCCATGTGGAAACAAGAAAATGAGGACAGAAGAAAAGACACCCCCCCTTTTTTAAAGACTTATTCATTTGAAAGGCAGAGTTGGGCTGGTGTTGGAGCATGGCAGGTTAAGCCTCCGCTTATGATGCCAGCATCCCATATGGGCGCACTGCTCCACTTCCAATCCAGCTCCCTGCCAATGCATGTGGGAAAGCAGCAGAGGACAGCCCAAGTACTTAGGTTCCTGCACTCACGTGGGAGACCCAGATGGAGTTCCTGTTTCCTAGATTTGGCCTGGTCCATTTAGGGAGTGAACCAGAGGATTGAAGATCTCTGTGTCTCTTCCTCTCTCTAACTCTGCCTCTTAAGTAAAATAAATGAAACTTAAATGATAATAATAATAATTATTTTTTAAAAAAGAGAGAGTAGGAAAGAAAGAGAGAAACAGAGGCAGAGATCAGCTTTCCATGTGCTGGTTCACTCCCCTAATGGCTACAATGGCCAGGGCTGAGCCCAGGCCAAAGCCAGGAGCTTCATGTGGGCCTCCAGCATGGGTGGCAGGGGCCCAAGCACTTGAACCATCTTCCATTGCCCAGGGACATTAGCAGAGAGCTTAATCAGAAGTAGAGCAGCTGGGACTCAAACAACTGTGCTAGCCTGGGAGAGACCCCTTTCATCATAGCATGGAGAAAGAGAGAACGTCTGAGAATGTGGTCAGCAGCACGTGGGAAAGAGCTACAGAACAGAGTCCTCCGAGCCTGTGAAGAGCACTCACGGCCCTGGACACGTTGCCCCTCAAACTTGGGCATTGGCACACATGGAGAAATCTTGTCAGAACCGTGTGCTACTGGTTTTGACACTGTGTGCGCTTAGAAAGCAGAGAACAGACCCAAACACACCTGCAAACCATTCAGCAAAGCTCTGCGCACAGGAGGAGTGCGCTGCCCCAGGGTGGGGCTTGGGAGAGTGGGAAGTCCCTCAGGAAACCCGAGAACCAGCCTCACCTTCAGCAAAGTCAGTTCCAGGTCGGCCAGAAGACCCAAGAACAGAGAAGCAGCCCACGAAGGGTTTTCCATTTGCTGAAGTGCGGAAGGTCAAATGTAGCACTGCGTGGAGGCCACAACAGCACCCATAACTGACTGCACGAGCACGAGACACCCACAAGTGAGCCCTGCCAGCGTGGAGGACGCTCGGCCCACCCGGAGCCACAGGTGCAGGGACGAGGGACGAGGGCAGGCAGGGTGTGGGAGGCCAGATCACAGGTGTGCGCGGCGTTTGCACAGCAGCTCCACTCCTTCCTGTCTTTGTTTTTGGCTTTGCGACAGCAATCAGCAGTTACTTCTCGTCCACACTGACTGGGGCTCCAGGAGTGGTGACAGGCACATGGGCACCCACACGTAGACCTGTTTGCGGAATCTTTGTCCCCGCCGCGATTTCTGGACTCTCACACAGATGGACTATGGGACATCCTTATTGCTCTGTTGAGCCTGGGATCAGCACACATTTGGAGTTCCATCTCCTTCATGGCAAACTTCCAGACCTCTCCAGGAGCCCAGGGGAGAGCTCCTGGAGGCCCACACCCCGGGCACACCTGTGGGTGTTGGCATAACCACCCACCTCCCTCTCCCAGCCTGCTGTGTGTGAGCCAGGAATGCAAGCAGCAGCTCTGTCCTGCGGCTTGATTCCACAGATGCAACCACACGTAGGAGAAGTGACAAACATGTCCTGGACACAGAGGGCTGGCAGAGTCTGGCTGTGAAGCGCCCACCACAGTGGGCCACCCCCAGAGCCTCCCAGGCAGCCATGCAGGTTGTCCCGTCAGGTCACCTGCTCATCTACAGGGGCCATTGCTCATTAAGGGCTGGGTGTGACTGGCCCCACAGAGTAGAGCAGATGGACGGCTGCCTCGGGCCTGCAGCTCTGCAGACTGGCCCTGCCCCATGATCTGACCAGGGACTCTTTTGCAAAGTGCTGGCCAGTGAGAAGCCTGAGTCCTCGATGGCTCAGGGGGCTCCAGCCCGAGTTGTGGCTGTGCGTTCTCCTCCAACTGCAGCCCGTCCTGAGTGGACCACAGAGAAAAGAGGTCTTGGAGGGAATCCCTGCTCCTGCTTCCAGGGTCCTTCCCCAGGAGAGGACCCTGCTGGGAGTGCCCCTGACCCACAATGCACCTCCAGCCCCCTGCAGCTGCACCAGGGAAATGGCATAGCCCTGAGAAGGAGTGGCCACCAGGCCCTAAGGCACCACATGGAGGCCTGGATGGGAGGCCTTGCAGCCATGCCACGCCCCCCGCCTGTGGGCCCACTGACAACTGGTATTCCCGATGCCCCTGGACAGCCGAGCGGGGCACTGACCAGGCCCAGGGGCAGTTCAGACACAACCAGGACGAGCTGATTCAACACCAGCTGCTGGGCCTGGGATCAGAGCGTGCGCCCTGTGGCCCTCTCCGGCAGCCTTGTCAGTTGGTGAGCACATGTTGTGGCCACAAAATGTGCTGAGGGGACAGTGGGTCAGAAATGTTCTACCTGGCTCTGCAAGCAGGCTGGAGACAGCAGGACCTGGGGTGCCTGAGCCTGGGGGGAGAGGGGACCTTTCACAGCCTGGCTTGAGGGAATGGGCCCTGGCTCCTCGCTTTTTTAAGATTTATTTGTTTGAAAGGCAGAGTGACAGAGACACACAGAGAGATCTTCCACCCACCGGTTCACTTTCCTAATGTCTGCAACAGCCAGGGCCAGGACAGGCTGACGCCAGGACCCAGGAGCTCCATCCAGGTCTCCCATGTGGTGGCGGGGGCCCAAGCACTTGAGCCATCAACCTCTGCCTCCCAGAGGCATTAGCAGAGCTGGGTCTGAGGCGGAAGAGCTAGGATTTGAATCTGACTTGAATTCTGACATGGGATGCCGGCGCCAGGCAGTGGCTCTAAGCTGCTGCTTCACAAGCAAGCCCCAGGCCCCTGCCCTTTCTGAGTCCAGCAGGTCTGGTCTGGAGGCTACCCTGGGGCCCTGCTGGGCTGTCCCTTCGGAGCCGTGTCCCTGCTAGTACTATGTGGCAGTAAAAAGGGAGAATTCTCTGGAAGGAT